TGATGACACGATTCTGTTTTGTGAAGGCGGTAATGTGAGCTTTATCAGGAACTTGAAGTCRRTGATACAACTGTTTGAGCAAATGTCCAACTTGAAGGTTAACCTTGGGAAAAACTGTGTAGTGGGGGTGAATATGGAGGAGAGGGAGAGATCAGGGAGCGTGCTGAAGTGCTGGGGTGTGAAGTCTCGGGGTGGCCTTTGAACTACTTAGGGTTGCCTTTAGGTGATAATCCTATGAGAGAGAGCTTTTGGAACCCGGTGGTGGAAAGGTTTGAAAAAAGATTGGTTTCCTGGAAAAAGGACTACCTCTCTCTTGGTGGGAGAATTACACTTATTAAGGCCACACTTGCTAACTTACCCATCTTTTTCCTGTCGGTGTTTAAAATCCCAGTGAAGGTTGCTAATAGATTGGAGAAGCTAATGAGAGATTTCCTGTGTGAGCCGGAAAAGGAGAAGAGGGATCATAGAGTTAGCTGGGAGATAGTTTGTAGGAGTAAGACCTATGGTGGTTTGGGGCTTGGGAGTATTAGGAGAAGGAATATGACTCTGTTGTGAAAGTGGTTGTGGAGATTCCCTACGGAGAAGGAAGCTATGGGCTAGAATAGTGGCAAGTATACATGGGTTGGAGCATAATGGATTGGACGTTGGAATCAGAGCTAGGACCACAAGCATTCTCTTTGGAAAGCCTTTCATGACCTGCTACCAGTTTTCTCCCCTAATATCAGAAGTATGATTTGAATTCCGGTAACTCCATAAAATTTTGGGAGCAAACCTGGGTGGGGAGTGCCCCTCTAAAGGATCACTTTCCTTTTTTGTATGCTCTTTCTGATTTGAAAGATGAGCCAATCTGGTCCTTCACCACCCCGTCCTCTTCCACTTCTGGGATTGGGTGGAACTTGGGTCTAAGAAGGGATTTGAGGGACTYAGACTTCGACAGTATTTCGAGCCTTATTGCACTTCTTGATAACGTTGTCTTAGACCCCACTAGGGTGGATTCTATAATTTGGACACCTACCCCCAACGACATCTTTTCTTGTGCTTCTTTCTTCAAAGTCTTAAGTCAGTTCACCAGTCCTACTTTCCTCCCTTTCCTTGTTGATGAGGTTTGGTGCAGAACAATACCTCCTAGGGTTGGTAGTTTTTGTTGGGAAGCCTATCTGGAAAGAATCGACACTGGTGATCTACTCCAAAAGAAGAGACCCAATACTTGTTTGTCACCTCAGTGGTGTGTTCTTTGTAAAGCGGATGGGGAGATTGGTTTTCACCTACTGGTGTCTTGCCATTTTGCGAGGTCAATTTAGGAACAAGCCTTTTCCCTATTTGGATGTAGCTGGAATCCCCCATCAGACTTGTAGGGCCTTTTTTCCCCTTCTTTTTTCAGGTGGCGGATAAAAAGGGGAAGGACAATGTGGAGAGGACTAAGGGCTGTAGTATGTTGGACACTTTGGGAAGAAAGAAACTCCAGGATATTCTCAGAAGCTCAAAGAGGAGCAGCAGATCTGAGGGCTATCATACATATTAGGGCAGTACAGTGGCTGAAATCTTTGGAGCTTTTCACATATTACATTGTGGATGACATGTCGAGGAAGTGGGGTGAAATTGCAATTTGCACACAGACCAAGTCAGTAATGAGTGTGGCTTGGACCCCTCCACCTGGTGGATTCGTGAAATTAAACTTTGATGGGTGTAGTAGGGGAAATCCGGGACAATCGAGGATTGGGAGTGTTTTTAGGGATGAAAATGGGGTCATTTCTGCCATGTTCTCAGTCCCAATTGGAGTGGGTGACTCCCTTAGAGCTGAGATCTTTGCAGTTATGGAAGGAGTCCAGAAAGCTAAGGAGTTGAACATCAGGAAACTCATAATTGAAGGGGATTCAGAGGTGGTGATAGGGTTGCTGATTAAATATCACAATGGCTTATGGAAGTACAATAATGAGATGAGGAAATTCAAGTGGTTGGTGCGGGAGATGGAAGTTAAGACATGTTGGGTTAAAAGATCGGCTAATTCCCTAGCTGACGGTTTAGCTAAACAAGGGTCAAAAAGGGATTCACTGTTTTGGGCTTAAGCTGTAACTTTAGTGTTTTTTTCTTTCTTTTTTTCCTTTTCTTGTGGTTCTTTGCTGCTCTTGGAAGATAAGTGTGTTTGTCTTCCTCTTGTAAATCTTCTATTGATGATTTAATGAAAGTGTTATTGATAAAAAAAAATGGGGAAGCCTGCAACAGCCCTTGAGGAATTATCCACTGGTGACCAATAATGAAGCAAAACAGAAGCCCCCTGAATTACTTAATCTTCTTTAGCTCCTCTGTTTTCAAAGAACCTTGAGTTATTCTCCTTCTAAACCACTTAAATTTTGTTGATTACGATTCCTCCCTGATCCATTTGGGTTGCTTTCTATCTTTTATTTTATTGTTTGTTTTATTTATTTAACTATTATATTACTGAAAAATTCATTGAAAACTTGGTCTTATGCACCTTTCTGATTAACAAAGTTAGAGGATTTTTGTATGGTAATACATTGGACTTGCCAGATTATGCTGAACTTCATGTTGGATTAGGTCCAAATTAGGTCGCCCCTCCTCCCTCCCTCTTTTAATAATGGTAAGGTATTGCATTAAAAATAAAATAGAGAGCATCTCTGTCACATCATAGCAAGATGCTGTAATGTGGCTACAAAATCATTCTCTACACAATACTGTTCTATGTTAGTTACAAAAATGTGTAACTAACATTTTTTATCCATAAGGATAAAAAAATCCTATACTGTACACTTCAAAACATTTGTGCACTGCCATTCATGAGTATAGCTTCCCCCTTAGGACCCTTTCAATTGAATCTTCTCAGCTTATTTTGTTTTTAAAAAAATGGAGAGTTTCTTTCTGTCAATATGTTCCAATCCAATGCCAGGGCCCAGGGGTATAGTACCCAAACAACTTCCCTCTTCTACCAAGTCCTTTCAACTGCCAACTCCATAAGAAAGCATTCATTGGTGACCAAAAGTGAAGCAAAACAATGGTTCCCTTTTATTAGGGGGTGGTTTTAGCTAATATATCTCTGTCTTGATCATTTAAGTTTCTATATGCATTTATTTAGCCACTTTTGAGGCTTGCAACATCGGTATTAATGGAAGTTCTTTTGCTCCAGGAGTTGTTGTTTATGAATATGAGTTGAAGATTGGTTGGGGCAAGTCTGTCTCTCTTCCAGCACAAGCCTTACCTGCTCCCCCACCAGGGCATATGGCTATCAGGAGTAAGGAGGTTGGTAGTTTTAATATCAGTTTTACATTATTGTGCCTGTTCTTCACAGGCATTCATATTTTATCATGCTTAATCTTATGGATGAGTTTTCCATTTCAGAGGATAATTGAAATGCTTCTTTTCTTCAAAATCCCTTACTATGAAACTGAAGCCCATATAATGCGTTGACAGGGTGGTACTGTTATTTTGTCTGGTCCTGATGGTCCACCAGTTACTTCTGTGACAAACCAGAGTTCTGAGCTGGTAGGTCAAATGAATACCTTGGAGTTCTACATTTGTTTTTTTTTTTTTTAAATTCATTAACATGTAATTATCATGGTTATCTTTGACACATATATCTATACTATTATAAAGAAGATACTTGCTTTGGCTTTGGTGTGGGTTATAAAAGTTAAATTTGATATGCAATATCTAGTTATATCTTTGCCATTTACTTTCAACATGTCGTTACACTAGTATTGATGAAATAGAAACAAAATGATTCCTTGTAATAACAGTGTATATAATGTGAATATCTGAAACATGCTAGGTTCTCCCCTTGATCTTATGCTTATTATGTGTAATTAGCTTGGAATCAACATATCTATCATTTTCTATAGTTACTTGGATGCAGGATGGATCTCACAATTTCTGTTCTGTATTTTCATTATATTTGAAGTTTTGTGAGATTTTATTTTATTTTATTGTTTTGATTCATGGATCTGGGGGTCTTGGTGCCTTAATTTACACCTTTGCCCTTTTTTATTTTCTCTACCATGCCGTTAAGCTTATCATAACATTAATCCAGCAACAAACTTTTAATTTTATTAATTTTTTCTATTATTTATTAAACCTGTGAATTGATGGGACAAAAGATAATGAATTCTTTTTCATCTGTAAAAGCATTCAAATCTGAAACCTGAGAAGAAATCATCTTTTTTTTTTTTTAATAAGTAACAGAGTTTTATGAATATAAATATAAGAAGCCCCTAGCTGTCCAAAGTAGATAACAAGGAAGTGCAATGCCAACTAAGAACTTAATACAAGAAAAAATGTGCAAAAATCACTAATTACACTTGAACCCCTGACCCAGAATTCCTGAAATTAGCCAACCTTGGAACCCACTGGAACAGGCAGTTCAGGTTTCTTCCTAACAATTGGGCTTCCCTACCATAAATCTGAAATTCTAAGCTAGTTCTAATTCTAAATTAAGCCAAGAAATAACGGTTTTTACAGTCTCCTATGATCACACCTGTCCAATTCTCTGTACCAATAAATCGAGACCTCGAATCACTGCTAACAATTCGGCCCTTAGTGAGAAACCCATGCCAACTGCACTACAGAAGCTTAATAAGATGAAGCCATTCCCATTCCTTACAGCACATTCAATCCGAGATGCACCCGGGTTCCCCAAGTTGCAACCATCAAAGTTGAGTTTAAGGCTTCCAACCTGGGATGAATCTCTAGTACACAATCTCATTTCACATCTCCTTGATGAGGTTCTTTATCCTTTTTCTTCTACTTATTGTTTTATTTTCTGTATTTGTATGATTATGTAAAGCAATGTTCTTTTGTTCATTATGTTCTGTTCAATTTCCCATTCTTGAATTTAGAATATAGTAAATTGATTTGTTTTCACTGTGGCTTGATCTTGGTATATAGGTTCTTACTCCCAATGTTCCTGACATAATGGTTGTACCTCCTGAGAACGATCACCTCCGCCATGTAATTGATACTATGGCTCTGTTTGTTCTTGATGGAGGATGTGCTTTTGAACAAGCAATTATGGAGAGAGGTCGTGGTAATCCACTTTTCAACTTCTTGTTTGAACTTGGTTCAAAGGAGCATACATATTATGTTTGGAGACTTTACTCCTTTGCTCAGGTACAGCTTACTGTGTTCTAAATTGGATATCTAGCTTCTTTGGGTCATTTATGTTAGGAATGGAGACATTGCGAATTTGGATTATCTTATAATCTTTTTATGCTTCACAAATTCAGGGTGATACGCTTCAGAGGTGGCGAACAGAGCCTTTCATCATGATAACTGGGAGTGGGAGGTAATGCATTTGCTAGGTTACTTCCTAAGTTCCTAGCAACCTCTTATCTACAATTATTTGGGGTGGAGGACATGGAAAACTTGATTATATGATGTAATGCTTCTTTCTGCTGCTTTATTCAGATGGATACCACCACCTCTACCTGCTGCAAAAAGCCCAGAGCATGAGAAAGAGTCTGGTACTACATTTGCAGCCGGAAGAAGCAGGGTAATTTTTCTTGTTTTGATTTGTATTGCTTCTGTCATGTCTTTTTTAGCGATATGGGTGATACAGCCATGTTCTGTGAATACCTTTTCGATTGTTGGAAAAGAATTTTCTTCTGATTCAACACTTTTTTGTTTCTTTTTCTTATTTGATTTTGCAGCGTTTGGAATTGGAACGGACATTGACAGATCAACAGAGAGACGAGTTTGAGGATATGCTGCGGGCTTTGACATTAGAAAGGAGCCAGATAAAAGAAGCTATGGGATTTGCTTTAGATAATGCTGATGCTGCAGGGGAGGTAATGCTGATACTGATTTATACTCTCTTTTATAGATTTATAGATTATAGACGGATGTACCATCTTTTTCCAATTAACATCTGGGTTTATGGACTTTAGGTTTGACTCATTAATTTGTTCTGGTTAAAACATTTAGCACTTTATGCAACTCAACATTCTTCTTTCTTTCAAGGCCATTTTGATATTGCTACGACAGTATGACTCCATAAATTTGATAGACCAGTTTATGTAATGTTCCTCAGTTTCTAACATAATCTTCCATTGCAGATAGTTGAGGTTCTTACTGAATCTTTGACGCTTAAAGAGACACCAATACCAACCAAAGTTGCAAGACTTATGCTTGTCTCTGATATTCTTCATAACAGTAGTGCTCCTGTAAAAAATGCATCTGCATACCGTACGAAATTTGAAGCAACCTTACCTGACATAATGGAGAGCTTCAATGACTTGTACCGTAGTATCACTGGAAGGATTACTGCTGAAGCACTGAAGGTAAACTTTACTAAGCAGTTTTCTTTTGGATTTCCCTTCACCCCAATTTTCTTTTAAAGTCCTGAAGGTAAAGTTCATTTTTGTCTGATACAATGTAGGAAAGGGTTATGAAGGTTCTCCAAGTATGGGCAGACTGGTTTCTGTTTTCAGATGCATATGTAAATGGACTTAAAGCTACTTTTCTTCGATCTGGAAATTCCGGTGTGGTCCCTTTTCATTCTTTATGTGGGGATGTGCCAGAAATTGAAAATACAAGAAGTTCTGAAGATCCAGTTGAGGGGAGTAAGCTCAACCAAGATGCTGCATTGGCTATGGGGAAGGGAGCTGCTATGAAAGAGTTGTTGAATCTTCCACTTGCTGAGCTGGAAAGACGTTGCAGACACAATGGGCTTTCTCTTGCTGGTGGTCGTGAAATGATGGTTGCACGGTTGCTTTATCTTGAAGAGGCAGAAAAGCAGAGGAGCTATGAACGAGATGATGATCTGAAATATGGACCAAGCTATTCTAACTCGAGTAAATATGCAAAGGAGGAGAATAACTGGAATGCAAATAGTGCTACTCATAGGGAGACCAACCTTGGGATGGAACCTGTTGGCTCATCCGGATGGAATCATTATGGGGATGATGGGATTCATTCACAAGGCAAAGTTTCCTCTGCACCTTTGGCAGGAACTATTCCTATTCCACAGCCTGAAGTAAAAGCTTTCTCCAAGAAATCTGATCCTGTTTTACCTGTTTCAAAATGGGCTCGAGAGGATGATGGCAGTGAAGATGAAGATAAGAGGAATGCTCAAGGTCTGGGGTTAGGTTACTCATCTTCTGGAAGTGAAAATGCAGGTGATGGTCCAAGTAAGGATGATGGGACAGAGGTTGCAACTGATCCAATCTTCCCACCTCACCCTGAGAGTGGCATGAATGAAGAACAGAGGTACTTCAGAGTTTAAATACATTTATGTAGCCATCATGTTGTGGCGAAGTAAAATGGTACTTGAGTGCTTATATGTATTATTTTTTGCAGACAAAAGCTAAGGCGTCTAGAGGTTGCTGTGATGGAATATCGTGAGTCTCTTGAAGAGAAGGGAATTAAAAGTTCAGAGGAAATTGAAAGGAAAGTGGCAAATCACCGAAGACGGCTACAGGCTGAATTTGGGTTATCAGATACTAATGAAGATGGTTCAGGGAGCAGTAAGCATTCATCTCGTAAGTACTTTGATGGGTATTATAAAATCTCAGTTCACCTGAACTCTGCATCTGTTCATTTTTGTTATTGTTTCATACATTGTGTTATTTATTTCTGTCAACTGTTCTTTGCCATGTTCCTTGATGTTATTGCATATTAGGTTCACATTATTGTTTTCAGAATGACAATGATTAAAACAAATGTGCTGTAAAAGTAATTATTATTTTTTGCTTGTTAATAATCAAATTTTATTGACCTTTGAAAACACGTCATTTTTTTTTTTTAAATTGTGATAAAATGGTTCACATACTGCAGAGTGCCTAGTTTCTCTGTTTTAGGCTAGATTCTGCTACCTAATCCCTTTCTTACAAATTATAAGCATTCATTGGCAGGTAGAGCCCCAAAATAGCTGTTCCCTGTTTCAGCCTTTATCTGGCCATTGCATTAGCCAAACTATTTGTTGACTTTTTAGTGCTTAAAGATAGTCCCCAGTTCCGGAATTAGAGGAGTAATTAGGGATGGGAATGGGATCATTTGTGGCTTGTTTTCGGGGCCTATTGGGCAGTGTGACTCTGTGAGAACTGAACTCTTTGCTGCTATTGTTGGGGTGCAAAAAGCTAAGGAAATGGGGATTACAAGATTAATAGTAGGAGATTCTAAAATAGTCATTGGATGGCTGAAAATAAGAGAAGGGGTATAATGGAAATTCAGAAATGATATCAGGTGGTTCAAGTTGCTGTCAAGATCATATGCAAAACCAGTTAAGATGGGTGAGGAGGTCTGCTAATGGTTTGGCAGATGGCTTAGCTAAAGAAGGGGTGAATAGACATCATTTGTTTTGGGCTCAATGTTAGCTGGGTAATGGGGCTCTCTGCTGTATTGGGTGTTATCTCTAACAACTTCTTGTCGTACTATTCTCTTTTTAAGTTCTAATGAATCTCTTTAAGTTGCTGTTGAAAAAAAAGGTAGTCCCCAGTTCCCTAACTGGGAATTTTATTTCCCTCATGAAATGACAATATTGACATGAGCTTTGGCTATTGTTCTTTAACAAGCCCAGTACTAACTGGGAGTCCTCTTCCACAACTGTAACCAAGGGACATGCCCACAGTTTGGCAGTCTCTGTCTCTGTAAGACTGTTAGCAGCTTAGATCTTGCAGAGGCCCCAAAACCAATGAGTCATGATAAAATGGACAGAATGCCCTCATGTAATTTTTTATGAATGGAGAGGCACGAGCTGTTACCTCCCCTAACAAAGTATTACATCAAACTAAAACAAAAATAAAAATTACAGTGCAGCCCAAAATAATTGTTCCCTTGAGACCCCTTGCTTAGCTAACCCATCCGCTAAGGTATTTCTGTTCTTCCCACCCAAAGAGAGGTAATAGTCATGCTCCTTGTGAACCAATTAACTTTCCTCAACAAGTCTCTGTAGCACCATATAGCTGAGCCTGGATTTGTCAACCATCCCACAACAACTCTGGAATCTCCTTCAATTACCAAATTCTGAACTCCTAATTGGTCTGCAATCTGAATACCTTGTACAGATGCTAACATCTCAGCTTTATTAGAGTCTCCTATTCCCGCGGGGCCTGAAAACAAGGCTAAAATGTTACTGTCCTTATCTCTCAGCACCCCTCCTATCCTTGATGGGCCTGGATTTCCTTGGCTGCTACCATCAAAATTCAGCTTTACCCAACCTTCAGACGGAGGCACCCACACTGCTGATATCCTGTTCTTCATAATATGACTACTAGCCACAACTATCCAGTTTTTCCAAATATCATCAAAAGAAAAGGTATGAAAGGAGTCCAGAGTTCTCAACCAATGAATGACTGATCAAAATACATTCCTCTACAGCCTGAATGCTTCTTTCATTCTCTTTGAATAACCTTACATTTCTTTCTTCCCAAATTGTCTACAAGGCAGCTGCTCTAATACATCTTCACATGGTTTTACCTATTTTTTCGTAGGCCACACAGAAAAGGAAGGATCAAATAGTTAACTTACATCTGTGGTTAGTTAGATTCCATTGGCACCAAAACAAAGCAAAAGTCCAACTCCAAATAGCAACAGAAAAAGATCAAGATAACAGTAAGTGGGAACAGTCCTCACCACTAGCCCTGAAAGGTACACACCAGTTAGGGGACAAACACATGAAACACCTTTTCTTCTACAAGTAGTCCAAGGTATTGATCTTTCTATAAAACACCTCCCAATAGAAAATAATAACTTTAGGTGGAACAGGTGTAGACCATATCTCCTTGGTTGGAAAACCCAATTGTCCAGGGGAAGAGCAAAGGGCCTTCAAAAAGGAAGAACATGTGAAGTAACCTTTTGGATGAGGGGACCATAATCTCACATCCAGACCATAATCTCACATCCAATCTAAGAGGGTCCAAAAAAAACACTGCCAAGAAGAGACAACAGGTCTGAAACACTAATAAATTCATCATCCCTCAAACCCCTACAAAAACCAAAGTCCCATCTTAAGGAGGAGGCTGAGACAGGTGTTGGAAGAAAAAGAGAGATGGAAACTGATCCTTAAGGGTAGAGCTACCCACCCAAATATCTTCCCAAAATAAAACAGAGTTACCGGAATTGACATCATACCACAAAATTGAGATATTGAGGGAGGATACTCTGGATTGCTTTCCAAGGAGTTGCCAACGTAGCTCGATGCGATATGCCAGCATCCCATCCACTGATTTAAAAGCGCAAGGGCCAATTTGCACCTGAGGCGCAAGGTGCAAGGCGAGGTATGTGCCTTTTTGAAGCAAGGCGGAATTACAAAGAAAATGCTAAAAGTAAAAAATGTCAGAAAATTAAAAAAAAATGCCAATTTAAAAATGCAAAAAATTCAAAAAGATATTAAACATAATGTTAATAAAAAATTAAACTTAAATTTTAAAATAAATGTTTTAAAAAACCTATAATCTAAAATTAAAATACATAAACATAACATGTAAAGTGTATTCAAATGAAAAGTTAAAAATAAAAGCAAACATATAAAGCATTTTCAAGCATGTAAAACCCACAATCTCTTTTTTTCCTTAATTGCATTGCTTCAAGTAGCTAATGTGATGTAAAACATATTGCATTCTAGATTCTCTGAGTTGCCTTTGTACCACGTCCCTTGAGGCAAGCCCGAACAAGTCCATGTTAGGGTCTTAAATTCTTATTTTCTCACAAAAAATAATGATTTTATAACTTTAATTTCCTTTTAAGAAGATATTTTATTGGAATGAATGAATGAACAACATTAGCAAATAGGGGGTTCTTAGAGGGGGTTGGGTCAGTTCAGTTCTGTCATGAAAACCAAAATCGAACCGAGTTGTCGGTTTATTTTCTCACACAAACCAAAACTGACCAGTGGTTTTAAAAAACCAACCAACTCGGATTGGGCCAGACCGGTTTGGTTGGTTTGACATTTAATGTGAACACCCCTATTTTCCGCTGTGAACTCAAGTCCAGAAACTAGGCAACTGCAGTTTGGGTGGTTATACATTATGCATATTGACAGACGCATGTATGACTGTTTATATGTAGGTGTATGTAGATTAGTTATCTTGATATTTCATCTGTGACATGGCATGAACATCATACTTCTTTTCATGTGCATTAAGTGCTTGTGAAAATTGCTAATGGTTTGGCATGTGATATTTGCATGGCATGTGAATACTCAAGAATTCAATTAAATTTTTAAAACTGCAGAAAGGTCATCATTGGAGAGGAGGGACAGAAGAGATGATTTCCGTGACTCAAGAAAGAGACATCGTAGCCAGAGCGGTAGCCGGAGCCCACAGTGTAAGTCATCAATTAGAGACAGAGAAAGGGAAAATGATGTAGAGAGGGATCGGGACAGGCACCGTGATAGATCTCATGAACCAGAAAATGAAAGGGTGAGGGAGCGTGAGAAGAGTGGAAGCAGGGAGAGGGATGATCATGATAGGGATAAAAGCAGAGAAAGAGACAGGGATAGGAGGAGAAGGGGAAAATGAAGGAGACAACCTTGTAGGATAGTTGCTTCTCTAGAATCAACTTGAAACTAAATTTGAGATGTTCTTCCAGTATTAAGAAAAATCCTTGAGTAAATAAGTATCGGAATGAAGCTTTGGTGTATTTTTTGGTTGAGGTGTGGTGGGGCGGTATTGTAGGCATTTTCAAAGATGGCCTGCAAAGGAGAATGAGCACTGGCAGCAGCACACAGCAGCAATATTTTTTTATTGGAGCTTGGTTTTGTCAATTGGAACGCCGAAATTTGATGAGGGAAGGGCAGCTTGAGTGATGCAAGGAAACCTTCGTTGATGATGATAAGATAAAATGTCGATATTTTGATTCCATCTCCAGTGGTTTCTCCATTCAATGAGCTCAAAGTATCCACTCTAAGCACCAGATACGAGTGAGTGATTGTAGAACATCTTGTTTCAACCTTTCTTTTCTCTTTAAGTTTTTGGCAGATTAAAATTGTAGATAAGTCCACTTGGCGCCTCAATTAAGTTGACAATGGTGAACTATTAGAGGATTATGTTATGCATTGTAGAAGCCACATTTTTAGTTAGAATTATGCTAGTATGACCTCTTTTAATCATATGAGGGTGTGATGTCATAGTCAGAACATTGTAGGACTGGTTTTCCCTTAACCTCTCTTAGCTGTAATTGATTCGGATTTTGATCTAGTTGTTGCAGTGAATACTATTCTGTTGGAAGAATCTGCTTATGGGATAATCAAGACTTTCCTATCTAATTCTTACATTATTTTGATGTGCTCCCAGGCAGGGCACCTTTTTTTTCCCTGCATTGATTTTGACCTATTAAACTGATTGTTGTGAGCTGTATTCTTCTTGCTGACTACAAGAGTTTCCTGACTGTGCAAGTCTATGCTTTTGAGTGGTTGTATTTTTGGCCCAAGGACAAACTTTCTTGTCCCTATTCAAGCATTTCCTTAGTTTAGTATTTAATGTGGGATTATCGCCTTACCGTGGCATTCATCTTTGGGGGCATGGTTTAAATGTTGGATTTTGTGGTTGCCGACCCATTGGCTGTGATTCCTTGTACTGACCCTATGTTCATTATAATTTTTTGTTTTATTTGGTTTTATCTTTTTTGGTTGAATGTAATTTTAGTAAATCTTTCAGGGTTTAGATTTGGGGGATCTGCAACCCCAAAATTGCATGGTATGATACCAAGACTTAAGACTAACAAAGCATATATATGAACTCTCTAATAAGACTAACGGAATCTGCTTGAAAGAGGATGGGAATTCATAAACGAATGGTTGCCAACCTTCCTTTTTGATTTTTGAGTTAAAAATACTTGCCTTTTGTTCTGTTATTTTGCCAAATTATGACAATTTTGACAATGGGCAAAGTTAAAACATCGATAGTGTATTATTTTTTGCTTGGAATGTATACTCTTTTTTATACTTTTGAAACATTAAGAATGCTTTCACATAGGGGTGCAACTTGGGCGGGCCTAGACTGAGCCCGAACTGACTTAGTCCAAAGTTTTATATGGGTTAAGTTTGGATTATCTTGGCCTGGATTCGGGCCCAAGAAGTTGGGCTTTGTTTTGGGCCGGGTCTAGGTTTAGCCCTTAGCCCGAACCTGGCCTGAGCTTGGCCCAATTATACACATGTATACCTATGTGTGTGTGTGTAAATATTGAAAATATATATATATATATATATATATATAACACAAATATATTTGTATGTATATACATTTGTATAAATATTTACCTACATACATATTTGCATACATATTTATATAAATGTATATATACATATAATTTTAGAGTGGTTTCATTGATCAGCCTGAGCCTAGCCCAGGCCTGAGCCCAACGTGAATGCATCAAATTACAATGTGGGTTGGGAAGATCAGGCTTGACCTCAGGCTTGGTTTGTGCTCGGGCCTTAAGTCCAAATTTTAGGGTCAGGCCTAGGTTGACCGTAAACCCGGTCCAACCCACCCAACTTGCACCCCTATTTTCACAAGTCTTACAAATATATTAATGATACTAGGTGTGATTTTGAAAATCAGGATACACTTAGTAATAATAGGAGTGTTAATCATGATACATTTAAGATTGGACCAAGAGATAACTCAAATGTGACCATTTTCAGTATCTTGGTTCAACAATTCAATAACAAGGGAGAGGTTGAGGAGCAAGTCACAGAGAGAGTTAGAGCAGGTTGGGCAAAATGGAGGGGTGCATTTAGACTTTTCTGTGATACGGGAATAATACTTATTAAAAGGAAAATTTCTATAAAATAATTGTAAAGCCTAGCTATGTTGTATGGAGTAGTGTACAGTCAAAAAAATCATGATAAAAAAAGAATGTGGTAGTAATACGAATAGTAAGATGGATGAGTGGAAAAATTAGAAATGTTAGGATTAGGAATGAAGTCATCTATGGAAATTGAGTAACTTCAACAAGTGATAAGATGAGAAAGTGCAAGTTAAGATGGTTTGGTCACATGCATAGAAAACCACAAACATCTCTAATTAGAAGTGATTTTTTACAAGTTGAAGGGGTTAGAAGAGCGGGGGTAAACCAAAAAAGACATTGGTAGAAATAGTAAAAAATGATTTAAGCACTAACAATTTAATAGTGGATAAGGTTTTAAATAGAATGGATTGATGAAACAAGATTCATGTAGCTGACTCCATATAGTTGGGATTGAGGCATAGGCATGGATGATGAAATATGATTTGGAAAATATATGAATAATGTAAAAATAGAAAATGAAACATGTAATTTTATATTATACTAGCAAATGTGTAGGTTGCACATGATATTTTAGGTGATGATGATACTAATAATATGTTTCCCTTTGTATAAAATAATTCTTGTTTATCATACTTATTTTTGTTTAATATGATTGATAAGGTCTTGGAAATCAACATTGGGAGCAGCCTCTCAAACATGAGGTCTAATTTCCCCTATGCTGTTCTAATGAGCCAACCCTCAACACAGGACACAAAAAGAAGAATTTACTCTTCCACCCATAGATGAAAGATGGAAAATTGTCCAATTTCTTCTAGGTACGAGCCATGAAGTATCACCCTTCAGCTGTTGGGTGGGTTCTCAGGCAGAGTAACACCTTGAAAAGTTTATGATTGACACTTACACCTTGTAAGTGGCGTTTGGAGACAGTTGACTTGATGGTGATCTCATAGTAGTTCAGAACCTCTTAGATTAGGGGATGGAAATGATGTTTTAATCTGGCTTGGAGCTGATGGTGGTCTCATAGTAGTTCAGAACTTCTCCTTCATGGTAGGTCCAAGGTCTGTCTCCGGCCTCAGGGATTCAATCATCACATATTGGTCGAAGAGATGGTATTGTTGACGTATTCTCTCTACATCCATGGGTCATAGGTTGCTCTCTAACTTTAATATAGCTTAGCTTCATTGGGTACGATAACCTTGGCAACCACAGGAATTGTTTCACTCTCTACTTGGGCTAGACTACTAACTTCATCCGCCTTGACTCATGGTGACCTAGGTTTACACATACAAACCTCTCCACCTTGAAGGGGTGCTAACTTGAGGTCCTAGTCTTGGACTCCAAGTTAGGAGAAGGAGAAGAGAAACTACCAAGGGCTCACCTCTGAGCTCTGACCATTACGACTTCGAGCGGTGTTCCATCTCATTTAATGCTCGGGTAACACTCGGCCATGTGGTACTAGTCTTTCTTTATTGAGGCACACACTCAATGCTATTCGATGTGAGATGTTACAAACCCTTTCAATGCTACATTTAGCGTCGACTTACCTATAAATAGGCCAAGCAGCAAGAAGTATCCTCTCTTACGCTCTTTGTTACTCTCACACTAGCACTTTCTATTCACCTTGGCACCTTAGCTAACTTGCCCACAAGGTCTTTGCCATTGGGACCATACCCTAGGGCCTCTAACGAATTTACATCTGCGCCCCACAACGTCTCACAACACATCTCCGTCATGTATTAGGAATATCTGTGCCCCATAATATCCCACAGCACATCATCTTTTAATATAAATAATGATGTCATCATCGGGAGATGTTCTCAATACACGGTGGGGATGTGCTGTGGGACGTTGTGGGTGCTCCCTTGTGGGGCACAGATCTGAAGTCGCCTCTAACGTCCTTTTGTTCTTGTAGGTGGGTCTCACAACTAGTATTAGCTATAAAATCCCTTTTTTACACTTATTGTGAAATCTGGTAGCAACACTCAATATGAATTTGTAGGGGTACAAGGTACTTTAGAATAAACCAGGGGTATCAATGAGTTAGTTCTACTCGACTGATTGACCCAATCGAACTGATTATAATGGTTCTAGTTCATGCTTGTTTTGAACCAACTCAAGCCCAAACTGATTATTTTTTTTTAATAATATAAGAAGGTTTTCTAGTTTTCTTGTAATTTTATTATATTTTGTCTAAAAGGGTAAATTAGATAGATAAGTTATAAGATAATTTTGCTTAATAATAGTTGTTATATTCACATACCCACCAGTTAGACAAGAACATGGTTTCATTTCTAGGTCATTTTTAATTTGTTTATTCTATTTTTGTCATTAACAAAATACTTTGCATATATCATATTGTTTTTTATTTGACATGACAATATATAATATCAGAAATGTGCCAAAGTTTTTACAATTTTTCATTTTTTTTTATATTTCTAAAGTTTAAACATTTAATTATGGCATCATGTATCCATTTGTTTGACCCAAATGGTTTTGCAAGGTGCCAACCAACTGATTGGTAAGGTCTCTTTTTGGTCATAGTGGAGACTTGGAATCAAATCTTGCCTGCACCTAGGTTACCCCCACCCTGCATTGTAGCCCTTCAAAAGAAATAAAAAAAGGTTAAACTACTCAATTGCCATCCAAAAGAAATAATTTTGTTTCCAAACCAGTTTTAAAAATATAGGTTTTTTACACTATTAAAACTAGGGATCATTTACTAATGCAGCCCCTACATAGCTAAGACCTACCTTATAGTTTATCTATTACTAAAACACCCCCTCTACTTTGCAACCACTTATTGCTAGTTCTCTTAGATAAAAGTACAAAATGAAACTTTTAACACTAATATCAATTCAACCAAAATAATTAAAAGAAGAGAAATAACTGAAATGTCAATTTGGATTAACATAAGATAAAAAATAAACTAGACAATAATTGGAAAAATAACACAAAAATATAAGAAATATAAGATAAATTAGTGTAATTCACTAATTCTGCAAGTAAACCTTTCAAAAAGAAGATAAAATATTTAACAATAATTTAAAAATAAATTTGAATAATTTTTCAAAATTACACAAACCCATTTGACATTGGGGATGGGGCGGGGATGGGGTAGAGTGTTTTGACTATAGGGTCGGGGTAGGGATGGGGTGCCTAGCCCCATTGCCATTTTTATATAATTGTTAATTATTAGTGAAATTAATAAAAATATTAGCTTTTGTAATTATTTTTATTTATTTTAAGCTAATCAAAATTTTATGTAAAAATAATGAAAATAATAATAGTTATTAAAATTGCTAGAAATGATTAATTAAATTAAATTTATTATAAAATATTGATTCATATTAAATTAATAATAATTATTTTTTATATATCAACATTAAATGAAAAATATAATTATTAAAATTTTAGATATTAACAATAACTTTGAATACTTTTTAATTAACTAATAGTAAATTTTAATTAATAATTTATCAATTAATTAATAATGAATAAAATTATTCAATCTTTCAAATTTTCTTTGCATACACGGGTCTTGACTAAAATGGAGGGGT